CCCGCCTCAGCACGCCTCAATGAGCCGATTGCCCAATTAACTCCATTCATACGTCCGCGGCACTAAAACCACACTCGGACAGCATTTTTCGAGCTAATACGATCATTTTACACAGCCAAGTTTAAAACAATTAACTTTATTATCCATGGTAATAGGCTCTAATTTCAGTCTCTTTTAATTTTTGTTTATATAGTAAAATAATTTTGATATTTATAGAATGTAGTTACAGTTGCCGTTGGTTTTAGTATAATAATTATATCAAAATAATTATTACTAGTGACATCGCATATTCTGTGGTATCTATATTATTTATATCATATACGGCGGTTATCTCTTATAATCAACTCATGGGACCCTTACGAGACAATACTCTAACAATACCATAAAAAATTGTGCATATTCTTTCAAAAATTGGCGAATACATCATATACATATACTATCCAACATAAAATACTTGATTTATAAACCTCATAAAATAACATAAGGCCTTGTGACTGCCTGCATTATCATAAATAAACCATAACAAAACCCGAACCATACTATGAAGAAACTTTCTGACATAATAGGTGAAGAAATTCTAAAGCTTACAGCACATTATAATTATAGAACCCATACTCTTCTTTCACACATACCGTACAAGTTCGATCGTTTAAAATTTTCTAATAAATGGTCGTAGTTCAAATCCGGGATTGTTAATTGGGTAATATTTCACCCCACTATGATTTCAGAATTAGACTGAGTAAGGTAGGCACAGTAAGAAGCGAGAAAGGTACATTGGCAATAATTTCAATATCTTGACCCTTTTAGGGAAGGGATAAATGGAGAATAGGGCCGAAAGGTCGCAACCAGTATCTTGTTATAGGATTCTGGGATTACATTATTGACAAAAACATAACTGCATATTACAATGTTTAAGTCCACTGACCTACAGAAACTGTTGGCTATTACAAATACGTACAAAAGATCTCTGATACCTAAGTAATTCATCCTTATACAGAAAATGTTTTCTGAGTAGATGTAGCTACGAAAAACTTTTGACAGCGAAAAGTAAGGAGTATTGGAGTGTTCCAAAGTAGGACAAGTACGAGAAATGTAAGTTGCAAGCCGGCAAATATTCGCAGAGAGCATCTTAAATAGTGGCAAAATAGCGCTGGTGTATTGCCGATAATATATCAAGGCTTTTCGCCATTATTTATGTTTATACCTGCTGTATAATATATTATTTTTTCTACGTCAGTAACAAAAATATACTAGTCGTTTTAACCGACTTCCAAAAGATGGCTCTGTTATACGACATTATTACCTCACCTATTCTGAAATGAAGCTGCTATTTTTCTTTACAGCTTTGTTAAACAATGTCTACTTATAAACAAATTCAATTAAAATATTTTCAGTATGTACTTACGAAACATCATATCATCATCATTCATCAGTGTGTTTTATTTATCATCAGTGCGTTTGCTGCAATTGAAGTTACAGTTTTTGTTTTGGAAGATTTAACACTATCTACCGTCATTTACCACTCAATGCCTAAGCAATGCACTCAATTCTTCCCTTTTATTAGTTATTCAGTATAATTGTATGTATTTTTTTATAACAATACTAAAATGTAAACTGATGACTATCTCTCATTAGAGTAGACGAGACTAATATAAAAAATATTTTATCCACGGGCAGAATGTGTCTATTTTGTGAAGATCTTCAGGGGTACACATAAATAATATAATATATAACTGGCAGAGTAGTATTTGTTACATTTTCGTGTTTGTTCTGATATAAGATATAATCATGAAAAATATTATCCTTTATAGGTAAAATATAATTTCAAATTACTAATAGTTTCTGCTGCAACGATCGCATCCAACGCATTAAAGATCGCCGACGTTACGTTAAAGCAATAAAAAGCCTACACAGGCAAAACGAGATCAAATAACTGGTTTAATAATTCCGGGAAATCGACTACCATCATGCCTTCACACGTCGGAAATTATTGATATGCGTCGTGACAACCCCATTAGTGGAGCGAAATGCATTTCGATTAATATCGTTAACGATTTAAAGCGATAATAATATAGTAGAGTTTAATTTTTCGATGAAAACAGATATAGAATAAAATACAACGCTTAATGAGCAGAACGCTTATTGATAGATATGATGATATGCTAGATATGACGAAAATTGTATTATTTTTTTTTTGTACTAAATATAGATTTTGAATATTTTAATAATCGTTATAATTAACCCGCTATATTAGATACATTATAGACTGTTTGACATTGATATATAACTCGATAAACTACTAAATAGATTAATTTTGAATTTATAAATAAATGATCCCCTCTCCAAGTATTTATCTAAGAAAATTTTTTACATGGCTTTAGCAGTTTTAAATAGTCATATGATAAATACTTATTCTTATTCTATCTTGGTGTGTAAGCCTGTTACAGATTTTTATTTTTTGTAATAAGGACTTGAATATAATACGAGTAATAAATATAATACTAATAATAATAAAGAGACGGTAATAAATATAAATATATATTTATTACCGCAGCCTAAAGACACAGAAAATGGCAGAAGATTAATAAAATTTATTTAAAGGGCAAACCTACTTACCTTCATTTTGTATCTCTACAGGGGTGTCGTTCACAAGAACGATTTGATTAGATTATGAATGCGTTCTTAATGAATTTCAAACAAGAATGGCGTTGTCAGTACCCATATCTTTTATGTGAATATTATTTTTTTATTGTATTCTTAATGCAGGTTATTGTATTATATTTATATTAGTCGTTCGATTCTAGATTTTCTAGTGTTTAATTTAATAAAAATTAGGAGCACGAATTTAAGAACGATGTTTTTTATCTCCTCTAAATGGAGAATTCACCTTCCGATACAGACGTTTCGCTAATATGTATATAAGAGACAAACAATCACACTGAATGTGTTACGGTATTACTTTTCTATATGGATGTGACATTATTGAATATCTTCCTCGTTAGCTGCGCTGATAAGCCATTCTTTATTATGACGAACTAAAATCGATTGCAATTAATCTCAACCTCTCATGAATAAGCGTAACCGGCCCGTTTTAAGCAACAACTGATCAAGTGAAAATCATAAATTATTTTAAACAAATAGGAATTATTCTATTCGCAAAGCGAAGAAGAGCAGAATTCCGTACAAAGGGAGGCACTCGGCACAACCTAATACTTACACGTCCTCAAGGCACTAAAAGGACCGTTTACATTTTTCACCGTGCTAATTTTATTTGACTCACCCTGAATATATTATGTCCTATTATTACGGCGCCCACCCTCTGCCAGCATTTAATGCTAACAATGAGGAATTCTTTCCTTTTTAAATTGTTAACATTAAATTTCGGTGAAAATGTAAAAAATCTGATATCATTACTTTTTTATTGCTCATTAAAAGCGGCATTAATTTGTGTTGATTAATTTTTCGGGCGTGATTTCTGCAGTGCTAAATATTTATTTAAACAAGATATATTCAAATTAATATATTTTCAAAATTTTATATTTTAATATTACGAAATATGTAGAGAGACGAATAACACTGAAAGCATTGTGTGTATTGTCCTTTTAAAATTGATAACGTCATGGCCTAGTATATTTCTATCCAGATTAATTTTAGATTAACCTAAATAATCAAGAAGTGGGTTCTAACTAATATCAAACATAAACTTTGTCTTGGTTTTATATTAATTCCTAGACTAATATTTTGATCATAGAAAATATCCGCAATTATCAAATTACACCTATAGGTACCCGCTGCACACTTTCTATTCTATCAAAACTGACATCACACAGACAGTTATTAGAATTATCTCTACCTACCGCATTATGAGAATATTGGTACGAGAATATTTCTTCGCTTTTATTTTAAAAACAAAATATTCTTTACTTATCAGATATGACGGGTGCATCTATATATATTTTCAAAAACAAATGTTACAGGATAGGCCGTTAGAATTGTGTTCCATCGACCCATATTCTTACACATATTTCTTACTTTGTTCGCTTTCATAAATTACTTTATGCATGCGCGCCGGTTACAGAGACACGTGACTACTCCCTCGGATAATATATGACCTATTTGGTCATATATATTATAAGGCAATTATTATTAAACTAGAAGCATAGTGGTTTATTACACAAGGCACTAGTTTTATCAAGCAACTTCGCTCGTTTAAATTAAAAAATATTTAATAAACTTGAGGTACCAGTTACTAAGCATTAATACAAATAACACTATTCTGTAAGACAGGCTACCCTAGTACCGACACCAGTCTCTCTATTATGTTATTATTTGAGAGAAATAACTAAATAAATATAATAAATAAACTATTTAGACATCTACGAAAATCGATTTACCTAAATCGTTTAGTTTACCCTTTTTCCAGTGAGTCTGTGTGCCAACTCGTATTTCAAATCCGTTTAACCGTTTATGCGTGATTGAGTAACAAATGTCTAAATATTTTTATAAAATTTTACATTCCTAATATTAGTGGAATATTTTAAGTGCTTCGTGTTTCAGAAAACGCAAAACGCTTTGTAAGTATCCTTCGTATATAACGAAGACGGAATGTTTTGACATCAGAAGAACCCAGCCTTATATGAGTCATAGTAGAATATTTCTATTACTACAACTGAAAGAATCATCATCATCATCATAACAACCGTTAATCGTTCTTTACTGAACATAGGCCTCTCCCATAAAGGTGATTTTGCCAGTAGTTGCCATACTTGGTAGACGAGTTAGCAACCGCAATTGGCCATAAAATAAATAAAAGAATATCTTTAATGAATTCTAAATGGACTGAAACTTTATCATCTCAAATACTTCAATATTTTAACATAAGAATACCAGAAGCAGGAAAGACATTACTTATACCGTGGATCGTTAAGGAGCGGGTTATACATAATTCATAAAAACTATACGCTTAAGATTTAATTTCATTAGTTAATATCTGGACTTACGTTGCTGCCGTATCTACGCCCAAAGGCACTAAGCCAAAGAACTTCTTGTGCAATTTATTGCATAATTCTACCTGAAACAAGAAGAAAACGTATTAGTGCTATTCTATTACGGTTCTTATTCATCATGAATATATTATTTTTACCATTTGTTTTACGTTTCATTGTGAGTTACATGAAACTTACAATACACAAAATTGAAATTACATTATAAATCCCAAGATGGAAGCAAATTCTTTACTAATAGTTTAATAGTTGGCATTTGTCCACCAAATGCAAAGTTCCACTTTGTACACATATTAATATTATTAGAAAAATATTTAAATAATAAATTATTATACTAAACAAAACAATTAATCTATGTTTACAGCATTAAATTTTTTAAAACTACCTGATAATCTGGTATATTTTGTTTTACTATATTCATTAACCTACTTGTTTTTATTCATTTCCAGCCATCTTTCAATTGATTACACGGGATAAAACTAGTGTAAGATTAACCCTTAAAATGCCCTATACGGCAAAACTGATCAGATATTTATTATAAAACCTTTTTATGGAAGAGTATAAGTCTTTTTTCAATAATATTAAAAGATTTTATCTAATTAAAATGCAACTTATACATTTTTTAGAAACACATGATACAATATGACTTAGCAACTGACAAGAGTATGATTAAACACTTTAAAATTCAAAACTAATTATAAAAATCAACATTTCAAATCATAAAATAAACGCGATCGTAAATATTTGTTTCATTTAATATCCAGTAATCAATCTACTGTCAACTTACAAGCAACAAGCATCTAATTAACATCGATTAAAACATTCCCCGCACAAAATTACGTGCTACATGAAACGAATTGTCGTCGTGTTTTAATTAATCCACACTACGTAAACTAATAAACGAGTTTATAATCCCGCGATTCAACAAACCAACTGGACATGAATCACTCCGGCATTTATTCAACGAGCCGCGAAATATTATGTAAACAATTAGTAGACTATAGCCAAATTTTAAAGCCGGACAGAAGAAGCAAGAGGTCCGGTCCAATCATAGATATACTTACAGACAAAATGCAAAGCAGTTTCGTGGCACTCTGAATACAAATACATAATCATCATCATATCAGTCCACTGCTAAATATAGGCCTCTTCCTATTGAAGGGTTATATATATATATATATATATATATATATATATATATATATATATATTCAAAACAAATAAAAATGTCGTAGCGGTTTGTGCATGTTTCACCTAGACAACATTAAGAGAGCCTATTTGAACTCGATGTGGAAGTCCAATTGTTTTTAGTTTTAAAACTTAAGAAAATGACGTAAACTGTATAGGAGAATGGATAATTAATATGTCTTCATTGCTAACTATTCTAAAGAACATACATAAATATAACAATAATAAATCAATGTTTAAATAAATTTTTTTCTAGTAAATCCACCACATAGGGTAACCGAAATACTGTCATCTTCATGTATTATTCCTGGTACATATTGGTACCCTGCACACGTAAAGCTAACGCATATGGAATTACTTTTATTTATAAAAAAAAAAACTTCATAGTGACTTGAAACTGTATACAACTGGCAGTGCAGCGTAACTAGCGTATGATGAAGCTCCAAGTCATTCCATATTTCGATGCAATAAGTCATCACTGGCGACACGCACTGGTTAACAAATTGTATCTTCAAACTCAATTTTAATTTATTCAGTTATAATAATTTAACTCAATTTTGGAAAGAAGTTTGCTATAAAAAACTATCTTTTGTAATATAATTAATAATGGCACACTTAGTATTCATATAGACACAGAAATATGCGCCGTCTATCTCCGTCTATGTCTGTAGGTCCAATAATAGCATGCTTCGATTGTTCCCAGTATAACCGACCCGACCTGGATATACTTGAAAATCAACCTGAAACACTGCAACATTAATGGAGGCAGTATCATTTTGCTCTTAAATAAACTCCGCTGACCCAGTCTGTGACAGTTCCTGAATTATCCTGTATCTACTTTGGTAGCTTTTAGCTGAATATCATGTTCTGTTGAAATAATTCAACCTTTTATTTGGGTCTTGAAATAAAACTGATAGATACAATAATGTATATGGAAAACATTTACTAAAGTTTTATTTAGCATGCACTACATGAGTATAAATATTATATAATCTTTGTTATTCTAGGACTATTCCTATAAGATACTTAAAATGGTAGAAAACAATATTTATTATTAGCTTGGACTAATACTTAAACTTACTTGTTGGGAACAACTAAATCTCATGTGAATGTAGTCTTGGCTAAATTGTAACTAACAATAAAGGTCATCAGTTCATCACTCACCATTTAATATTCAAGCTAGCGTCTCTTGTTGGAGACGCTATGTTTAGCTCAGTGTACATTATTACGCATAAGTGGCTTAACTGCAATACTCGTAGTTACCGATAGTGCAATAATGCTCTTGTGTATAATTAGTATTATCGAAACCTTGCTGCATTCTGCGCATCTCTAATTTCATATGTCAATTGCACGTTGTAACAATTCTATCAATAGAACGAAGAAATAGAATTGCATAAACATAGATTTATTTTTTGTCATTAAGTATATCGTTCGTTGGAAGAAAACTCTTACAGAACTAAGCTCGTCTTTACACAATAATTTTCTACTACTATATATCTATACGAGCAAATGCAGTGTAGGACGACGCCCTACTAGATGGAGTGACGACCTGAAATGCATTGCAGGGAGTCAGTGGATGCAGGTGGCTCAGGACCGTTCTCTATGGAGTCTATGGGGGAGGTTTATATCCAGCAGTGGACGAATAATAGCTGAAATAATGATGATGATGATGTATCTGTATATATTAATAGCCATATGGGCCTGTCACAGATGAGGTCCTTTCTCGTGGGTGTCGTAAGAGGCGACTAAAAGAACTTAATTATCGAGGGATAGGCAGTAGCGTCCCTCTTAAATTTCACTAAAGCCTAACTGCAGTTACCAACCCGCCTGCCAAGCATGGCAACTACTGGCAAATCCCCCAATAGGGGGAGCCCTATATTCAGCAATGAACGATTAATGGCTGGTATTAAAAAAAAAAAAAATAATATATATATATATATATATATATATATATATATATATATATTTTTTTTTTTTTATTGCGTCTATGGTTATATTACTTATAGATATGAAAATAATATTTATAATAAATTCAAAATTCTCGTATAACTAAATAGTTAAACAACTCCTATCTACATCATTATCTAGATAGATATTACTGCCGTCATTTTATCAATAAAAGCTATCAATAAGTATACATATATATTTAAACAAACAAGAACATTTTTTTACCAGACAGACAACAACGTCGAACATTCTTAAGTTAGATTCGAATAACGTTCAAAGAAAACATACAAATACACTGGAACGTTTATTCTACACCTCATATGTTTCCATTGTTGAGAAATAAAATGTTAAATTGAAACACATCCATATAAGCGCAGCAGTTTGGTGGAAAAACTAAATGGTGAGATTTAAGTACTCATGCAAAAGACTTTGTATGAGTACTTAAGTCTCACCGTTTCCCTTTAATAAATGGCAGTATTAAATACCTAAATAGACAGCCAAATGCACCTATTGTCTTTAAAATTAAAAAATAAGTAATTGATATTGATGTTTAAAACGAGATGTAGCAAAACTTAGATTTAAATAACGAGACCATAAACAAATTTTACCGGAGCATAAACTAGGTAAATAATTTCATGCGGTCTTTTAGCTAAGTGAAAATATAAAATTCATTTTCTCCGAGACGTCAGCGGCTCTCCATAGAACACTTAAAGTATCTTAGAAAGAAACTGCGTATAATTTTCTCTGCAAGTCTGAGATTCAAAAAGAGCGCTGAGAAAAGAAGCAAAATAAACAGCACTTGTATCTCAACGCTACCATCTCATCTAGGGAGAGCGACGTTTAGATGTCGGTCGGAGTAATAAACAATGTTTAGTGTTTACATTGAATCTCCATCGACCGACCACTGCTAAGAAATTTCAACAACTTCGACGTTTATGGTGTCCCGATACCTTATTGATTCTTGGGTCTTTTTTCGTAGTTTCATCCACTGGTCGGACTAAAGTTGATTCTTAGTGGAAGCCATTGAATTGTATAATTATATTATTTAATACAAATCATGATATTCATGATAGCATTATAGATGATTTCATCAAACCATGCGAGTCTGCGAGCGTCGAAAAAAATTGGATACGGTATAGGAAATTAAATATCTTCACAGTCATTTAAAGTTCATACTGATAAGTAACATTGTCAAATCAAATAGTTGTAAATAGATTCAGCGAAACAGCGGGCTACATGCGTTTCTGTGAGACATAGAGATATTCATTCTTGCTCGGAATGCAGCGCACTTAATTTTACAGATGACGCATCAGTCCATAATCGCTCTACGTGAGTCTAAAACACTCCGACATGTGTCGACTCGCCACACTCGTTTGGACAACACCAGCCACCTGGGCAAATAGGCAATATCTACCGTCGCACAAGTAACATGAGGAGTTTAATATAAACCATTAATAATACTGAATGTGGGGCTCTGCTGTGCTTGACTTGCTTTATTTTTTCATTGTTATTGATAATTTACTACGATTTCAATAGTAATTCAAGTATCAATTTGAACCAAGAGAAAGAACTCTATATTTTCTACAAATATTTAAATAAAAAGGACATAGTACTGTTTGGTATTTGATTGATTATTGAGAGAAATATTAATATCAAAAACCTAGTATACCTACACGCAAATACTTAAAAATTAATATTATTTATTTTATTTTACTTTTTACGCTAATCTAATTATACTGATCAAGAATATGGTGAAGAAATAATTCATTAATATACAAAGACTACTCCCGAGAACTATTCTTGTTTCTAGTTCAGAGAAATTTGAGCATCTAAACTGTCTACTTATAAAAATTATATTACTCGGTTGTCAGTAACTCAATCCATTTCACTGGACGCGCCCGTCCAAAATCAGTAGCTCAACTGGTAATAACAA